TTCGACATCGTTGACACTAAAATTGCGGAACTAGCAGCATCAAGCTGATAATGGCTGTGTAAGTCACTGATGTTTGGACAATCTTGCTTTCTTTCGACGACGTTCGAACCAATCCCTCACCTACAATGAATTTCAAACAGAGATCAATCCACGCCTTTTCATTTTCCTCCGTTGAATTCCAAATTAGGGCGATCTTACTAATTACTTAGCCACAAAATTTTCTGTTTGACCCACTACCCTTATCAATGCCACACTCAACCTTTAGACGAACCTAGCTATTGAATTGACACGGCAAGCCTCGCCGCAAATTGACTGTCTGTCGTTAAATGCTTCGCTAAGAGAGATTTTGTTATTTGTAAAATACCGATTTTCCAGCTCCCAAATTTGATCGTCTGAGAAACGCCTAAATTTTCGTTTCCTCGTTCCAGGTATCGAAGTCGACTCGAAGGTGCAGTCGTCGATGGAGTATTGGACTGAAAAAGTTGAGGCATGTTGAGTGTCGCGAGTTGCGGCGAAATCGTGAATTTTTGAGTCGATTTGCTTGCACACTTTCACTGCAAATTCATGGAACTTAGTCAGATGCGTCTGTACATGGGTTCCTAGTGGTTGCAGTAGGATGGGAAAGAGGAGGTTTGCATTGGTGTCGGATGAATTGGGTTGGGTGTTGGATGGAGTCTTGTAAAGGTAAGCTAAAAAAACAAAGATGGTAATTCGTGTGTGATCCACGTGCAAACCTTTTACTGTTTTAATAGTTTCAAGATAAGCCCAGCTTAGGCGAAGAAATCAATCCATCTTCTCAGTGATAAAACCACCTGATGTACATTTATGATAGGCCAGGCATGCTGTGAAAGGCTGATAGTTTTTCTGTTGCTTGCAGGCCAACAATTGCATACAATCCACGACATGTGACGATTAGGATAATGCGGTGTGAAAATTGCAGCCGACATCAACATCCAACGTACGCAAACAATGGAAGATTTAGTGTGGTTCATCAATAAATTGCATTTCATGTCAAGAACATAATGCGTTTAAGATTTGGATCGGATCAATTTGAAATGATAGGCTACATTTAAAAACATAAAATTATTGGAGGCAGATCAGTGACATTTTTTGGCGAAACACGATTCCAGTGTTATAAAGCAAAGTTTGAGTTAAGTGACTGCCACGTAAATAATGTGTAAGGTGCCGCATTAATCATCGTGCAGAAAGCAAAATTCACCCGATGGAGCTTCAGAGGTAGTAGCTGGAGGAGGTTTGGGTCGAACACTTAGGTCAGGTGGTTCGATTTGTTCCTCACCGTACTGCTCACTGTCAAGCGTATTCCCTATCGTCCCGTCGCCACACGACTTGGAGTGAGTTTGAGGCGACGCATCACACCCGCGTGCCATCGAGGTTGAAATTTAGAGAGACGTCTGTCCTTGGCGATGTGTTTGCTAGGTTCACCTGATTGAGACGCAGACATCTGCGGTCTTTTGTACCTCGACTTCGTTTGCTTTTGCTGCAATGAATCAAATCCACATTGTGTGATTTGCGATTCCACAATGCATTGTGTGCGTGATCAGACACTACACGTGTGGAGATAGATTGCTCTAACGACCCTACCAAGCAAATAAGCATTCAGTAACACAGATTTGGAGTGAATCATTTTTAATGGGATCAGTTGAATAATTGGTGCTGGAGCACAGCACTGATTGTGAAAACTGCGTTAGTCAGCTCAGAAGAGAGCAGCTTGAGGGCATGCAGGTGGGTGCGTTGGTGTCAGCATTAAAGTGACCCCGACTTCAAATAATAGAGTCAATTGGATGCGAAGTCATTTGCAGAGGGTATTTGTGTTTGACGTAGGCATTACCAAATCAGCGCTATTGTGGTGTTTAGGGAAGTCTAATTATCCCGTGTTCCTTTTAGAGTTTGGTGTAGCTGGATTTGACAAGGACGATTGTCGCGTTGACCACCAGATGCGATAGGTGTTTTGGATCTATCGGGAGGGGTGGTGTACCTGTGGCAAGTGATTGAATCAGACGAATGATTCGCTTGCGAACTGTAAACTCACATTTAACACACAAGTCGCGTCTTTGGAGCATGTACTTAGCTTTAATTTGTGGCTGAATCTGCACTTACAACAGGCTCTGTCAAATACGACTGCAACAACACACGGCATTGTTTTGTGCAACCTTTAAACAACATAAAGACAACACGGAGCACTGTTCAATCAAATACATGCAAACATGCAAACTTAATTTATGAATAATTCATTTCGATCACTTACTGCTGCTGGTTGCGAATGCAACTGGCAGTTCTAGTATCGTAGTAGATCGCGTAGGTGGCCTCGTATTGCTGTGCTGCTGCCACTAAATCGCCTTTTGCACAATTGAGCCAGGCGGGAATGTAGAGTGGATCGAGAGCTGACACACGTGCACTCAATCCGTGCCTAATCCGTTAGCTATGTTTATATACATATAAAGTCTTGGATGAGCGAGATGGATTTGTATAAGTGAGTAGAGTTGAGTGATGAGAAGTGGTGCGTGAGTGATGATTGCTTAGCGGTAATGTGGCAGCCAATTTTGGTCAAACGTGAACTCTC